GATTTGTAGCATTTATTGCACCATACGAGACTGACGAAGATCTACGGTTTCCAGGTGGATAAAACCATACAACTAAATTTGTGAGCATCACCGTTTCTCTCGTAGTGGTTGATCTTTTGCGGCAAGCGGAAGGCTGTAACCAAGGGATTTTCAATGTTAAACTGGGAATCGATTGTTGATTTTTATTTTTAAAACATAAATCTGTCTTTGTTCATTCAGAATGTAAATGAACATTAAATAAACAATAATCAAATAAACATTAGAGAAGTGTGGTTCGAATGTTTGATGGTCGATAAAGATGTTTTGGATGACTGACCATCATCAATAATGCGCCTTGAGTGAACGATGAATCAGTGTCACTGACATGTAAAACAAAAAGAGTAGTATCATGTGACGCAATAAATCAGTGGTTTCAGCTGTGAATGAGATACGAAATATTGGAGGTTTTGAGGTTCATCGAATATAGGTGTACAAATGGAACAAGTTTGTTGACACTGTAACTTGGCGGCTTTTTAGCACGGTGTGTGAGCTTGATGGCAACAGTGATCCGGTTTGCATCGACCGAAATATGATTGGTCCAAATTGACTAGATTTTTTAAATGAGTAATCAAAATGCCAACTTCAAACCCCAGGGGAAAATTGTTGCCAAAGGTATTTGTCTGCTCGGGGAAAATGAAGATTCCAGTCCACCGGAGTTACGGAACCCTGTTTTCGTCTTGTTGCCAATACCAATTTGTTAACGTTAACTGTTCACACACTGTATTACTCACAGACAGAAAACTGAGAAACGATTAATAAATGGTACCTTAAACCCACTACATAGAGGATTTTTCCGATTGGAATCAAGTTGACATTCACTCTGTTTGTAATGCACTCTTTCTTCAACCTGATACCATATCCTGTGCACAATCTAGGTTTGCATAGTGACACTCTCTTTAGTAAAGGTAAAATTATGAATTTGTTCATTTCGCGAATTGCGTGCTTACGTCAATTTTTTTCAGCTGCAGTTGCACCTGGGTTCTCATGGTGGACTATCGTAATATTCGATCCTTTTGTTCTTAAAACAGTAACTAGATCAAATTGTTAATCGTTGATGGGGTTTTATTCTGCTTCATGCGCCGAATTTTGTGGATCTCTTGGTCTACAATCTAGGATATTCCAATAAACAACTTAGTGAAAGGAAGGTTTTCAGAAAACTTTCGCTTCGCGCAGTGGTTCAAATTGTTTTACGAGGCAAACCAACCGAAATTTGGTCGACAAACGCCTCAAACAGGAGACTGTAGAACCACTCAAAGACCCATCGATCACCCGTATCCACGACGATCAAAATCGGTGACCAGTCATGAAGTAGCGTTTTCTTTCCCAGAATCCCCGGGACTTCAGGAACCGTTGAACCGGACTCTTCCACTTAGTATGGACCACCGTCAGCGAGTTGCAGCTAGACAGGAAAATGTATCCTGGACTCGACGCTCAAATAACATGACGGCCAAAACGTTGTCAGATTTGAATACGTCTACTAGCGCAATGAAAGAAACAGGAAAATCATTGGAAACTGAAGAAGAAAGTAAGATTTATTTTCCCATCTGGAACAGAAAAAATTATCTGATGGTATCTGATAATTTGTCCCCTGTGATTCTAAGTGAACGTTGTTTATCATTTATATATAAGTTCAGTGATAAGATACGGCTTCATGCAACCGGCGCATGATTTAAAAAGCGTGATATCACTAGTTTTTGTCATAACCTACATGTTGAGTGTTTCAGACTTTCTGATTGTCTAGGTCACTGTGGCCCGAAAATGAAACTATTATCACTTTGCTTTGATTCAAAATTTGTCTTAACTGGTGGAAAAATGTTGTTTAACATAATGTGGCTGGATTTAGTCTCTGACTACTGAACGTTTTCCGTGACTCCTCCTCAGATTATTGAATACTCTTTACAACCGATTGTAGGTGTTTTTTATTGTGAAAATTTTATTAGTATAGGTGTGGTTCGAACCGAAGCATGAATGCTACCCATGCTTTTGTACAGCGCACGCTATATCAGATCAGTTATAATGCCAAACCGGTAGTAATGATCTTTTTACATTTGGTTCACTCATCCGACTTTCAGGGTCAAAGGGAATCCACCAGATAGCACGTAGGCTGACTGCCACGACAGGTTTTCCTTAGAATCCACATTCATTGATGTTTATGGCTCGATGTGTCGTATCAGAGTGATGAATCAGATTAATTTTTTTCAAAACTATGATTATTGGATTTATCGACCCAACTGGGGATCGAGTCCGGAACCTCATGGGAAGAAGTAACGCATACTACCTACTCGACCACCGGGCAGCCGCATAACATGTATTCAAACTAGAATGTTTCCAACGGAGTCATAACCTTGGAGGCTAGTGGTAAGGTGCATTAAGCTCACAAAAATGGGCTGTGCTATGCCTGTGAGAGCCCGGGCTCGGTGCACGGTTGGGTCGATGGATTCGCATTGTTGATGAGACCAAACCAAGTCGAAACAGCTGTCCAGTGCTTCCTAGCTTTTCAGTTTATGCTTTATGCGCTCTGTACATAACGAAATTCACAATGCGATCAAACCACATCCTCCTCGGCTATCATGGTTATTGTATTAAACTTTAGACAGTTCTATTTTTTCATGATAGCTTCCCTCAGTAGTTTTTCTTGGAGATGAGATCATAGCACCCATCTGTTTGAGGGCAAGGCAAATGGGAATAACCTCTTTCATTTTCAAAATTGATCCCCATTTGGGGAACAATGGTTAACTGATATAAGCGGTCCAAATACAGAGACAAATTTCTCCTCATATAATGAAAGCATGACAAATCCTACCGAAAGATGACTTCCAATGTGTTGTTTTCTGTGGCCTATCAGTAGCGCTAAACATCAGCGATTGTAGGAATGCAGATGAGTAAACTTTACGTTGATCGAAAAGGCTATTGTGAGCATCGGTTGCACTCGTGACAAAACCAGTTGTAACTAATTTAACTGGCAAACTCGTTTGATTTTCGATGGCGCATAGGCTCCAAATTACCTAGGTGTTTTAGACAATAAATCAAACTGATCACGGTGTATTTTAGCATTGAGATTGCGGAGGCTAATTCTCTGTTCACCGATTCAAATATATCACTCATAGAGAACATTTTCTCTCCTTTCCGGGAATGCGGGGTTTGTATGTAGGTTCTTAATTTTCCACTTATCATTTAATCAAACTTATCGTGACTCTGACATTGGCTGAAACGAATGCTACATGTACCTATGTCGTCATTGAGTCACTGTCTGTTACCGAATGATGGCACACGCAAAAGCGTACGCTCGTCACTTTGATTTACTCGGTTTAATTCTCTAATTGATTTAGCTAATCTGACTTCAGTATTGACCTGGCCGCTAGGACTGAGTTGTTTCCTGTTTGCCCTCCCCTTTTGACTGTACCCCGATGGCGTCTAATGCATACACTTTCTTTCTTCAGTGATCTACCTAAATGCTTGCTTAAGTGTGTGTCTAAGACTGTTGTACTAAAGCTGACTGAGGTTTAATATTACCACTGATGGAAGTAGTTATCTGCAGTTTGAGTTCTTTCTACAATCACTTGGATAACAACACGATTCGTGTTGTGCTTTGAGATGTACAGCTGTCTCACTTATACCGCAATATACAGTTTCCCCTAATGACATATAACTTTGCTTATCTCGCGTTTCATGCTTCGAACGATCAGATAATTTGAGGCAATATGGAAATCTAAATAATATTCTTGTGCATTTGAATGCGATAGAAATGTTTGTGATAACCGACGTAGAGCATTGGACAGCTGTTTCGTCCTGTTTGGGACTCGTCGGCAGTGCGTACTTTTTGTGTCCCTGTCAGGACTCGACCCGTGAACAATCGGGTCGGGACTTCAAACCCTTACCCTTGAGCTACACGGTCGAATGGCTCGATCTAATTTTTTAGAGTACCAGCTTGTATTAGTTCATTCGATTTTTCAGAGGCACCAGGTTATCACAAACACTTCTCACCGCATTTATATGCATTTAACTAGATGGGAATTAACGGTCTCCCAAGGAGTGAAACCCACACCCAAGACTATCAAGAGTGCCTGGTGCCTCTGACCAATCAAATGGGCTAATCCAAGCGTGATACTCTAAAAAATATTCTTGTGGTTATTTATTGGACAGAAGTTTTACACGGGGGTAAAACCGTCTCTTAGATTAAGTTTAAAAACCTCAAAGTATTATGGTGAAATCGGATGAATAAAAACTATGAAACCTAAACTCGGTTCTCCAATTAGTGTTTATGAAACGCGTAGAAGAGTTGAAGGTGATCGGTGCACCCGCAAGCGGAGGCAGTGTTAGAATACGACGTGAAAGAATGAATGAAAAGCCGCTTTCAGATTAACAGATATAGAAATTTTGGGTCAGTGAAAGGGATGTTTTTGTTCTATGGTTGCACATTTTTGCAATGTTGGTAGACTAATCTGATCCCCATAAGTGTATTGTTCTGCACGCGGTAAAAGCTTGACAGTAAGAAGCTTTAAAACTTCTACCTAGAATGTTTTTTTCTTTTTTTATGATGTCTAAATTGTTTAGATGTCCCGCGCACTATCTCAAACATAACAAAGGTGTGTCTTAAGAACACTCAACATTTCCCTTAAAGTCCCTTTTCCCAGGAGCGTATCATTATATTCGGCGCTTGGAGGATGAATACATGGGATGTGTATAAACTCCCTACAATTTTCCATCTTGATTTGATTGATTGTTTTTTGGTCTTTCACGGACAATTGATTTTCCCTCTCGTCATGCGTGTTATCAGCTTATGCAGACCCCAGCGAACAAAGTGATGCTGAGGTTTATGAGCTTCCATCCCCGTTGAAAAAAGATCCGGTCCTGGCCGCGAATGCCGCAAAGACCTTGTCCGCNCACACACGAAAACTCCAAATCTGTATTCCGAAGAGAGCGTGTGTGCAAAATGCTCAGAATCAGATTATATAAACTTTATGAATGATGACGGTACTGGCCAGTCAGCCAGCTTCACCTGTCCAGCGCCAAGCTCAAAAAGAGGCACAGACCCAGTGAGATCTCAGCGTCCCTCGGCCATTCAACTACCACCTCCGTCCCCTTCATCGCACGGTCAGCGTTCCACAAATGGAACTCATCGTTCCAACCGAAGACCAGCCACAGCCACATCGTGGAATTCGAAACAAAACTATCCCGATTTTCTAGCTTCCGGTGACCGACCCGCAAGTCAAGCTGCCTCGGTCAGTGAGCAACAAACAAACACGGATGAGCAGCGATTATCGGCCAGTTTGAGCTGTGTCGAAAATTCCGGCCTCATGCCGGATACACCCGGGGATCGTTCTCGAAATTTCAGAACGAATATTGCCGAGGAGCGGTTGACTAAAGGCAATTCATCCTCTCCATCGGCGGAAAGAAAATCTGCGAAATATGCACAGTCGAAAAAAGACACTTCTCCCACACGACCGGGAAAGTCGAGATCCAGCAAAGAGTTGCACAAACTGGAACTACCGCTTGAACCGATGTCGGATAGTGTGTTACAACAAGAACTTGCCATGCTACGATTTGAAGTAAGTTTCATACCGATTGGGTGTGTCGGTCCAGGTGACAAACGGCGAGAAACGTGACTAGTCCTCAGTTTGCCAAGATTTCGATTGAGTTTTTATTTATCATTGTTTTCTCATTAGGAATATAATTTTGCGCAAGCGAGTGACATAGAACGCACATATATATATGTATATATATCATAGTCGCTACAGATGGGGTTCCAAAATAAACACGAGTTAAAAAACGACTTTGGCAGGAAAAGTATAACAGCGAACCCAAAACAACGAGCCTCGGATGAAGAATAGCGAAGCGTATTTTTGTTTGTTCACTAAACTCAATTTCGACTACTGTCTTTTTATGTTTAGAATGGTGAACACGCCTCCAAATGCCATTCAAAGCTGTGTTCCGTGTTGTCTTTAATCCGAATCTTTGAGGCCCCAGTCTAGAAGCCTGTAAACCCCGACGTAAATCTGATCCGAACGTAATTTCTTCAACCGTCTACTCCAACTCATAGCTGGCCCATCTCACTCTTTCTTCCCGTTTAGTCCAACATCTGTGAATACTTTACTATAGAGTAGACGTTGCTCAGGCAATTGTTGGTCGTGTACCAACCACTGCAGACGGTACAGTCAAATGGTTCAGCTCAGTGGAAGACTATCTGATCCCAACATATTTCTCACGACCTCATCGTTATTTCTGCGATGCTCCCACCAAACGCGGTAGAAATGCAACGGAGGAGGATTGAAATAAATGATATATCGTTTTCGAAGTCTAAGCTTCTTTCACAAACGAAACTGCTTAAAACTCTGGAACTTAAGTGGAAAATAATCTCATATAATCTAAAATAATCTCATATGTCTCTCAGATCCATAACTCCACGTTTGTATTGGCCACGACCAGAATGAACTAAAAGAAATTTTAGTGACTTCCTTCCAGCCCTCTTGAAACGCCCTTACATATCTCCCTAGAGAACATTGCACAAACGCGGAAATAACGGTGTAAAAGTTTCAAACATTGTGATGAAAAAAATTGCAGTTCTGTTTTTTTCTCGGCGTGGTCAATCCAAAAAAATACTTACGGATGCAAAAATTTAAGCACTGCACCTAGTTTATTCACTGAAGTTCTGGTATTACGAGACAAAGAAACAGCTCATGAAAGAGTCACCCATTCGGTGCGTCAATAGTTGGGTAGTACATGCTTATGAATACCCACCGTTCCTGGACACAGACCAGAGACGGTACCTGACCTCGATCAACTGACTCATTATCTTATCAACTGTTCTTCCGTTCGCCTGTGTTTTATTGAACGGTTTTGCTACACTTATTTTATACCGGTTTTAATACACGCACAGTGCCACAGCAACAACAACAACAGCAGCAACAACAACAACAAGAACAACACAACAACAAAAACTCACAAGAATAACAACATATTTCGGGGAGTTCAGCATAAATAAGGATGACAATGATTGTAAGAGCTTGAAAATGAAATTATCGAAAAATAGGCTAGAAAACAACCGTTTTTTAAAGAAGATAACACGTTGATTTTGATCGGCCACAAAAAGCTTTTGTTCCGAGCTTTTGTCCGAAATTAATGAGAACCAGGCGTATACATCTTACAAATGGTCATCGTAATCTTCAAGTTTTCTGGTTGTTCAAAATCTAGTAGTCTATCATACATATCCTCATCTCCTTACTGATTTCTAATCATACACTGAATCACGGTATGCGTGGTTTCCAACTGTCTCGCATCCCATTACGGGAAAGTGCGCCTGAATCTTAAGTGAATACACCACTTCAGGAACTTAAAATCGCACTGCTTCTTGTAGCTCGATTCATGAGTCCCGATCAGTGTCTCAATGGAGAGTTGGTGCTTAGGCATTCTACTAAAGTGTATAATTTTCTGTTTGTTCGACAATCTGGTTTACTCGCATCCTGTATCTTAGCTTGATGCTGGTTATAGCGATTTACTCCATTTTGTTACTCTTCGATTGGAGTTAAGAGATAGTCATTTGTGTCTCCATTGGTTGCTGAACTGATTGACTATCTCTGAAGACGACACATGAACAGACAAATTGGTAATTATGTTCAACCCCGGTGTGAGCTGGTTGTCACAGAGTGGTAACACACATGCCTTCCATGAAATGGATCCGGAGTTCAAATCCCAGACGGGACGTTGGATATACGCTACTGATGGGCCCTAATAAGAGCGAAAATCGCGTCTAGTGCTTCCGAGTGTGTTGGACTGGAAGAGCTAAGGAATGTGCATGAAGGTGAAACCTGAAGGATGGTCAGTTCCAAACAACCAATATCAGTTATCCCACAACACTGCTCGCAAGTAAATATGAGTTCAATGTGAACTCTTTTATCACTTAGTCGACTTATTGTGCAGCCGAAACACAGCAACCAAAATTATCCGATCGCAGTGTAAGAGTTTGCTTGGAGAATGAACATCACTTTCTCATATCCTCAGTCGAACGTTACCACTTCCTCCAGAGTATGATCACTTGGAAATATAGATGAGATAAAATATAAACCCTTTGAAACTTCTTAAATTGAAGTGGTCGTGGAAATACCACGTCTTCTTCCATTCGGAATGTCATAACGGGGTTCATTTTTAGTTAGTCTTCTATAAGAGAGTTTTTGTTTGCTGGAAACCGGTGCTCAAAGACTTCATTCTTGATATGATAGATATTAAAACGTTTTATCCCATTTTAGACTTTGGGACAAAGAAGATCACTGTTCTATTGCCAAAAAGAAGCACAATTCTATTTCAAGAAGTTGCGACAAATTGAAGATCTTTGTCTTCAATTGAGTGAAATGAAAGATAAACCCAATGATGGGATTCTGGACGCAATATTTGGAATTCTATACGAAACAGAAGTAAGAACTCAATTGATTCTTTTCGGTACTGTTTTCTTTTTGAAATAAACTGTCTAGGACCAATTGATGTGATGTGATCAGTTTGCAGCTGGAATTACCTGTTTTCGTGCTATATCGTTTAAATGGAAAATGAAAAACAGTCTGATCAGCTGCCTGGTGGCTGAGTGGGTAGCGTGCTTGCGTTCTGCCTGTGAGGTCCCGGGTTCGATCCCCATTTGGGTCGATGGATTCGCATTGCCGATGAATCTCAACTAGGTCGAATCAGCTTTCCAGTGCTTCCTAGCTTTTCAGTTGCTATAAACGCGACGAATACCTGCGAGTTATCACATTGATGACATCTCGTCTGCACATGTGCCCGCCCAACCTGCACGAGTGTCCACACTAGTTGACTCCGTCATGTGACACAACACAGACACACATGCGCACCGCGGCAATACTTACCAGTCGTGTGATACGCACAAACACTACGATAATGCACCCAGTCATATGGCCATTCAGGCACTAACCGCACCTGTCACCTCACCAGTCTGACCCATTCACGCACTCATGGACCCAACCAATCAGTGTACTTGACCTTGTGACATTCATTCATCAGTTTTGGGTGACTAGGATCCAAAACACGTCAGATTATCACGTACAAACCCTGTGGATTATATATATTGTTATTATTATAATTATAATTATATTATATTATTATGTTATGCCGTTTACTTACGAGGATTCGGGAAATCTTGCTGTGAGTACTTACCTCCTTTAACTATTGATTCATGCTAATCTCTTATTTACGTGTAAAAAATGTTATTTCTTTCTTTCTTGCAGAACCGCATTGATATTCATTTTCGTATTTCGTACGATAAGGTGATTTCGTTTTGCTTAACCCAATTGGGATAGCGAATAATCAAGCGAGTGATCAAATCAAGCTAAGGTTTACTTTGAGATCCAAGGAGCTTAGACAAACGGATTGCAACACAAATAAAGAATAATTATTAAAACGAGGTTTTAAAAAAATATACAACATAACGACCACACTTCTTCCCAGGATTCTCATTGATAATTCACAAATTTTTCCATCATACAAAATTTTTCGATCAATATTGATTTTTTCCTTTTTCTAGGAGGGCTTTACCAGTCCCGTAGAAGAGGAAGCGTGCGNNNGTGATCTGATCCTCGGAATGTTCTTGTCCCGTGAGAGGACCGTTTTCGATTTACGATTTTGATCAACAGAAAACAAACTGATAAACTGATAAAATCCTCACCAGCGTTGAACTAAATCTATTGTGGATCCAATAATAGGGTACAAGAAGGTCTAAGGCTCACGTGACCAGAAAAAAAAAACCGGTTCATCTATGCGAACCAAACAGAACGAGAGCAAGTGAGAGTTGTATAGAAAATGTACTGTATGACTTGACTATCCAAAATACAGTCCAGATTTTCTAGCCAGTCTTTTTTTTCTTCTAAATCGATGTGGACAGGATACGTTTAACGAGAGCACACTTGTTGGCCGTTGTTTTGGTTGATTGAACTTGATCGGGACCTACATGTATCTGGATGTATGCGATTTGGATTCGTGAAAATATTGGAGATCGGTCTTGAGCTGCGAATGTTTTATTTTTGTCGAAACAAAAGGAAATAGAATCCCACTCAACTGGAGCGAATTATTTTCAGCTTCAGTTTTTACAACTATTAACCATGCACTATCGTGCACCGGTTTTGGTTGCTGTCTTTTGGCTGCCCATTCGGATGAACATTAGGAGAAAAACAGGAAGGTTGTAAGCAGGACCAAAGAGAAAATTTAGAATTACATTGCACTAATGTTGCAAATAAATTGAGAAGATGCACGAACGCCACTGTTCACGACACTCAGTCATATCACGCAGTCTTTAATCATCAGTTATGATCATTCCGAGATCCTCAGCCTGGGAGCTTAACGGGATGTACGTGACCCAGTCTCCTGGTTATGGATTTCATACCCTCTTATCAAGTCTTAAGGTGATCACCCTTGGCTTTTTTCCACCCACTACCTGCCTCAGCAAACATTGCTCGTTGTGGCAACCTATTTGGTGGCATACGTAATACGTGTCCCGACCTACGTAATCTATGGAGGTCGACCACTTGCTCCAATGGGCGACCGCAGTTACCCAAAACTCTGGACCGAATCACACGCTAGTTGTCTGTCTCATCGCCCCTGCAACTGTGCACACTATTTCCATGTTCATAACTGATCGCTGACTTAAGTTCGTGAACTGCATACTGACATATGCACGTATGAGCGGAAGCAAGCATTTGATACCCGCATCATTTCGGGTGCGACCAAAAGCCAAAGAGCAGAAATTTATCTGTCAGGTCATCGTTATGTGGAACTCAGGCAAATCCGCCGCTTGAATATAGAAAACATTCGTAAAACAAAACCTACGAATATGGAAATGAGAAATTGAAAGCGTTGCTAGAATAAGGATAAACGTTTATCTTCTAGATCAACAAAGCTGGAAATGTTCCTCATCGCTTCAAATAAGATGAACTCATTTCTGTCTAAAGCCAGTGGAACGATGCACCACGCTCACTCGAGGGGTGCCTTGCAATGATAATCGGTAATTCGAAGAAAATTTACCGTCTTTCATGCATTTCCATCTCAGCTAATCATAACTTGTCTTAGCGTAATGCTGAAGTGAAATGCGGAGCCATATTTTAAGGATGATCATATTACAAAATGATTCTTTTGCAGATATCGAAATAACCTT